GTGTGTGTGTGTGTGTGTGTGTGTGTGTGTGTGTGTGTGAGAGAGAGAGAGAGACAGAGAGAGCGAGAGAGCCATACAGCCCCCGAATACAACAAATACCTCTTTGTGGCCTAAAGAAAGTAGAATTCTTGGGCTCAACAACAAACGAACTTTTGCAATTCAGATGACAGAGAGCTTCTTCCTTCTTTCATCRGAGCAGCATGAGATGTGTTACGGAATGAGAAAAATTAGAGTGATTGTGGATTATTTCAAACATTCAAATGAAACCCCTCAAGGTTTGGAATTGCATCATATAAATTGTTTTAGCACACTGTTGAACTGTTTTGCTTACATTGTTTGGACAAAAACTGCTTTATTGAAAGCAAAATCTCAATTACAAATGCCGTCTGTTTGAGGCTGAACTTTCCAAAAGGGTCTTCATGGCAACATATACATAATTACAACACACGATAGGTCTTAAGTTTCTACAAGAGCACACTGTAATGCTTTTAAAACAACTGTTTTTTGGAGAAATGTGATGAAAAAAAAAACTATTCGGTTTGAACAGAGCACAATTTTTTTTTTTTACAAGAAACGTCTGGATATTTGTGAATTAAATCCATTTTTTTGTATGGTGCAAGTGACAATTACCACCCAGTAAATATATGAAGGGATCATATCATTTAGCTGGAAACGAAAAACCTCAATGTCAAATGATGTCTGTGATGAGGATAATTAATAGCAAATATTTATTTCAAAGCTTGGGACAAAACATTGCTGTTTGCTTGTTTGCCTCATATGCAGAGTGTGTGTGTGTTTATGTAATTAAATTTGTGCAATAAGGACATGACCCACAACTTGAGATGACAWTGAATGGAGACTTGAATAAAGGCATTATTTGCATAGGGTTTACAATTGTACACCTTTTTTACACCCAACAATTTACTAGGAACATGATAGCCATTTGGCTCACATTTCACCTGACTGTGAGGGCCTCATGACAACAGAAAATTCACAAACAAAACAAATTTTTCCTTTTTTTTGGTCAAGAATAAGCCCAGTAAACCTGAGCTTGGGTGAACAAACACAACTGAATAATACAGTTTTGTACCCACGAGAATCTGAGAAATATTAAATGAAACAAGATAATGACCGTGTGGAAGAGTGCATGAATAAGAAGGTACAGTTTATTCTCTGTGAAACTGTAATTTTCAATACAAGAATCATTATTATTTACTTAAAGCTAATAATCTAATAAATCTTGTGTCATTGGAAATTCTGTTAATTTACCTCTTTAAACAATGGATGCGTATCAGACGGGAATGATGAGGAATACAGAGGGGTCATCAGTGACTTTGTTGGCTGGTGTGAGACCAACGCTCTCCAAATCAATGCCAGCAAGACAAAGGAGATGGTCACAGACCTCAGGAGGAAGTCACTCCCTACAGCACCGGTGAACATCCAGGGAAGAGACAATGAGACAGTGGATTCTTACAAGTACCTGGATGTTCACCTCAACAACAAGCTGGACTGGACTACAAACACAGACGTCCTGTATAAGAAGGGCCAGAGTCGACTCCACCTACTGAGGAGGCTGAGGTCCTTCGGTGTCTGCAGGACTCTGTTAAAGACATTATACGACATGGTGGTAGCATCTGCCCTTTTCTATGGAGTGGTCTGCTGGGGGGCTGGATGTACTGAAAGGGACAGGAATATGATGGACAAACTGGTACGGAGGTCAAGCTCTGTGCTGGCATGTCCTCTGGAGCCTGTGGTAGTGGTGGGGGAGAGGAGGATGTTGGCAAAGCTGACAGCCATCATTTTGGACAATTTACCTACATTGCCATCACTAATATACACCTTCATATACATCCATTTGTTTGATGTGCTGGGTATATGTACGTTGTTATATATCACGAGTATAGTGTTTTTTTGTTTTTCTTTTACTTGTCTTTTTTTGTTCTATCTCACCATGTCCTGTTTTGAGCTGCTGTAATGTGCAAATTTCCCCACTGTGGGATCTATCTTATCTTATCTTATCTTATCTTATCTTATCTTGTCTTGTCTTGTCTTGTCTTGTCTTGTCTTGTCTTGTCTTGTCTTATCTTATCTTATCTTATCTTATCTTATCTTATCTTATCTTATATGGTGCCACGTTTGTAAGGAACATGCATTTGCGGGATGAGCAGTAGAGCTGAGTTTGTGAGTTGTGCACATTAAAACTTTGCCAAATCCTCCCTGCCCTCACCAAACAGCTTCATCTGCCATTGAATTGTTTGGTGTTTGATGGGCTGGATGATTAAAATTTGAAGAAACAAGACACTTTGGCAATTTAACTATTTATTCATAAAATAAACAGAAGCCTTAGTAGCATGTGGAAGAACCATACACAGCCATAACAGCCTGGCACCACCTCCTCATACTGGCCACCATCCTGGTCACACACTGCTGTGGGATGGCAACCATTCGTCAACCAGTATTTGTTACGTCAGCCAACATGGTTGTGGCCATTCCATCCTCTTTACTTCACATGTGAACAATCAGTTTTGATTGTTATTGTTAAACTTACTTGTCCACCATGTACAGCAGGGCTATTCAACTAAATTGCTCAGGGGGCCACAGTTACTGCAGGTCAACAGCTGAGGGACCGAACATCCAGCARTTAAAGTCATTAAGTAAATAAACCAAGTATTACAAAGATCTGTTACCTTTGAAATAGTTTATTTTGCTGCATTTTATCATGAATACAACATACAGAACCCTATAAAAGTAGTGATAATAAATATCACAAACAAACAGAACACATTCTGCCTCATATTTAACACAAATATTATTTTGACATCTCTGAGTTGCCAAAATTTTAAACCAAATTTATTTTCAATTTCATAGTTTTAACTTGAACTGCTTGTAGTTTTAACTGTCTTGAGTGTTTACAGAAACAGTTTTTACCAGCTTCTAGCCAAGATTCTGACGTTTCTGTAGATAACGATCATGTCTATATTTAAATAAAAGAACTTATAGTAATTAAAGTAGAAAACTGGGGGTTTGTGCTCAAGATGAATGAACCATTTGGCGGGCCCCACTTTGGTCACTCGCTGGCCGGATGTGGCCCRTGGGCCGCCAGTTGAATAGCCCTGATGTAGAAGCACTGTTTACGCCGAGTTCACCTGAATTTCCTCAGATTGAAAAAGTTTCTTGGAGGAGAGACAAAATGTTTTTTCAACAAAGAAGAACCCATCTAGAGGACCTATTTGACGTTTTTTTAGACTAGATTTGCAAAATTTTCCTAAATCTTTTGGATGTATATTTTCTCAAGTATGTTAACATGTATGTTTGTAGAATTGATAAAAGACAAAGTATCATTGCCAGTTCCCCTTTTTGTTTGCTTTTATATGTAAATTTAAATCAAACTTGTGTAAAACTTCTRAGCCCCGTTTCAGAAAGCAGGATATGTGGAAATCCTGAGGAAGTACTGGGGTAACTCGGTGCATATCCTGGGTTTTTGGTTTCAGAAAGCCAGATAGCAGTTATCCTGAGTCAACTTACCCCCACAACTTACTCTGAGAACCAACCCTGCTCCATAGCAGGATTACTTGAACTTATCCTGAGTTTGTCTGAGCTGAGAGCTGCACGAGGACAGTGTCAGACAGGGCGTATCCTTTTCTAAAGGAGCCTGTAGATGTTGACGCATTAATTTGTGCATTTTTACAGGTTTTCATTGCTCAGGTTTCAATATTTTCTTCAAGTACAGTTTGTAGCTGTTTCACAGGAAGCTTTAGAAACAACAACAAAAAGATTCAATTTCATTTACATTTCTGCTCTCTAATGAAGTTATAATCAAAGGTTTAAGTTCTTACAGAAGCATATATTTTATTTTATTGTATATAGAATTTATTCAGTTTTTTTAAATGAAATAAACTTCAGGAAAAAAAAATGACAGAAGAAAGTTGAACTCCAGAGGAGCTGGACTCTCTTCAGTCCATCACAGCTCTTTTTGTGAAAAATTAACAGTCTCACAATGAAAAGTAAACATACATTAAATATTGGCATTATTTTTCATGTATGTGTATGTGTGTGTGTGTGTGTGTGTGGGGGGGGGGGCATAATTTTGTGTGTTGAAGCAGTGAATTATGTAATTTATTTGTTAAAGGTTGAACATGAGAGCTTATACCTGATTTTACTGTGTTTTTATATTTAATCTTTATTTGCTGCCATGTCCATTTATTTCTGGCTGGGTACACACACACACACACACACACACACACACACACACACACACACACACACACACACACACTTTTATCCACTTGAATAAAGAATAAAAGTAAAAATAAATATTGAGAATAAAAGTTTAGATTAATTAAAAATCATAATCATTGACTTGATCAGCAATTCTCTGCCACACTCACTCTCTTTTTCTTGCAGCAGCAACAGTATTGCTTTTTTATTTATTTATTTTTTTAATATAYGTTGATATTATCTATGTGCCATCATTAATATTTCTAGTTCCAGGGCCGAGAAATGAACTTCCGGTCTTCTTATTTTCTCTCATTGCCATGGTGAATCACGTTATCTGACTTCCATGGATGAGGGCTTCATGCTCCAACTTCACTCAGGGGTAACTTGACTCAGGATTAAGTTATCCAATTGATATCACCTGTTCTGAAAATCCTGAGTATCACAGAGTGGGGTAAGTTGATTCAAAGTATCTGCATCAACCCAGGGTTTCTGAAACGGGGAGCCAGTGTTGGGAATTTGAAAATATTTTGCCATGCAGAAAGAATTACTGGAAAGCTGTTACATTAAAAAGTATATAATAAACATAAATTGTAAAGTAAAGTCAATAAAAAAACTTCACCTTCACATTTACTTTCCAGTATGATTTTTTTTATTTTAAAGTTGATGTAAAGGACTTTTCAAAGTGTTTACAGTACAAAGCTCAACAGACCAAATTAAGCAGCCTGTCTGCAACTCTACTGTGTAATTGCATGACTAAGAAGATTAGTCAAGATTTAGCTCCTCAGCAGTCATTGAGTGCTGTTCACGCAGAGCTGGCACCTAGCAACAGGTCAACGCACCACGTTAGCATTCATCACAGGCTCGGACGGAGGCTCAGTGATCAGAAATGGGAGAAATGATTTGCTCGTGAGGTCAGATGGGAGTTTCTCCCGTCTGATGAGCCACTGCAGGATAAGGTTAGTGCTCTCTGCATGTTACAAATGTCATCTTTTAGCTTGACAGTCAACCTGTTTTTTTAGTAGCCTGTTGTTGATTATTTTAAACCTCCCAAAAGTCACATAAAAAAATGATAAAAATGCTCAAACGCAAAATAGTTTCAGCTATATTTGTTTTGATTCCAATATGAACATATGGACTTTTCACTGTTTGGGATAGCACAACGTGACTGGATGACAGTCCAACATGTCAGAATACACACTACAGACGTTTTTTACATGGACGTACAGAGGGTTTCTCTGCACCTGCAGGTTTCTTTGGGTGAGTGTTTCTCAAAAATAATAAATTACACTGTGCTGACTTGTATGAACATATCTTGACAAATGTTGGTGTTTCTGTTCTTTTGGAGTGAAGATTTGCCCGTACAATGCTACTAAATTCATACCGAAGCAAAAATACCTAGAGGAGAAAAGCAGACCCGTGAAGCGACATGCGGGTAAGACATGAAGCAAAAAGCTTCAGGATAATAATAATAATAAAAAAGACTGACTGTAAAACTGCATCAGAGTTAAGAAGCTACAAGAGAGTTTGTGCTTTGTTTTTATGTTTAAGCTTCTGGAAACAAAGTGACAGCAGCCATCCCAGGGAGTCCTGACCGTGTGAATGTCCTCAATAAAAGACTGACCAAAACCGAGAGAGAGATCCTGTCCCTCAAAACCAGGATTGCCTGTGAGAGAGCAGCGTGGGAAATGAAGTTTTCTGAGCTGCAAAAACAACAGGAAGAGCTCCGGAATCAGGTGTGCTTCTGAAAGTGTGCGGGTGTCGCTGACGACACGTCTCTGCCTCTCATCATCAACGCTGAACCTTACTCTCCTCAGTTAGTCTCTGATGTCAAAGCGTTGGTGAAAGAGGGCACTTGTGACGGCCGGGGACAGCCCGGAGTGGACAATGGAGTGATGTTTGATGGATGCTCAGGTAAATCATGGACAAAGAGTTCATGGCAGTAAATCTGTACATTTTCACTCAGTAACAAAACCACTCTCTGAACAGGTGGTTTTCAGAAACGCCGAAGGTCCAAAGCATCATCAAGAGGCGACAGCTTTTCATGCAGTTTGTCAGGGAGTCAAATATCCTTGTCATCACCACTGTGCTCAAGACCTGCTTCCTCTTTATCTTCAGCCTATAGGTACTGAAGGTGATACTCTGTGTAGTTAGGAAAAAAACGGTTTAACTACAAAAATGAAGCAACACTGACTGGTCCTCAGCAAGTTGAGTTTAATGCAGTGCACTGAGTTAAAATTGTTTTCCTAATGTGAGTAAAATGATGAATTTGTTTGTAGAGCTTCTAAAACATTGCATCATAAATGACATAACAAAACATGGGTTATTAGATACTGTATGTACACTGTGTGGTGCACACTGTAAGGGTTTATTCTTACACTTCTTATAACAACGGTTATAAGAGTAATTTAATTAGCAAGGATCTCTTTTATTTTGGATAAACATTTCTTTAGTGCAAAAATGAATGGACACAAAAAGTAACTCTCAGTCAGTGATTGTTGATTTGAACCATAGTATGCGATCATTTATTTTACAAATCATACAAATTTAACTGGAGCACACCTGATTGTGAACAATTAATTTCCTATAAAGGTTTTTGGACCAACAATAACAAGCTTTTAACTTCTTAATTGTTAACCACACTTAAATAGAAACACAAACGTCAGTTTAGATGTGAAACACCAGACATTTGARGCTGTTTATCTTAGGAGTTGGCAAGGAAGAGGTTAAGAAAAAGGAAGAAAGATGTTAGCTTTTCTACTCTTTATCTTAAATAATGTGGGTTTTAACCAGAAGGGTGAAGCGTTCTGTGCTCAGCTTTGGTCAGACCTTGACGTCACACACAGCCAGCTTTTACCTTGAGATGATGTTCTGTCACCTGCCAGGTAG